ATATATAGACGTGAGTGAGTGAGGGAGTGTGTATGGATGTATATGTGCATGTACAAATATATATATATATATATACATCGATGGTTAGATAGATAGATAGATAGATATAGATATATATTTATTTATATATATATACCTACATTTAGATATTTTCATAGTCATACATATATAAATATCCATATATATATATATATTTATAAATATTTGTGTGTGTATTTGAGACCCTCGAGAAACATTCCATGAGATTCATACATCCATCAGGTATCTTCGTTGATTCTACTTAAAGGGAGCAAGTTCGTAATCAACTTCCTACTTGTTTTGGTCTTCTTTCGACCGTTTGTCTAGCAGATTTCACAAACAGTGCGAGCGACATTATGCACTATGTTTCCCGAATAATTGCATACCCGTGTGCACTTGAAGGTTCATGGTCTTGAAATCGCTTCTCGGCACAGTACGTTAACTCTTGGTTGATAGTACTACGTATGCAAACCAATCCATGTGTATACATGTATGTGTTTTTGTATGTGTTAAGTATATGTGTACATGTATATATAGACCCTGACCGCTGTGCTCCTGGACACAGATTACGAACCACCCAAACCCACAAAGAGGAAGGCAGCTTCACCCAGGAAAAAGTTCACTACCAAACAAGCTCCCGCCAAAAAGACATCCGCCAAACAGACATCCGCCAACAAAGCGCTACCGGCGAGACGCCATAATCCAGTTGACATTGCGAAATGGAAAAGTATGATAGTGGGCTGTGTGGTGTGTGAAGTGTTCGTATGTAGACTGAACAGTTATTGGGTGTATGATATATTTTAGACAGGGGGCTATGTGTGGCGATAGGTACACGAGATCCCTATTTGAATGTGTGTAATTACAAGAGTTTATGTAGTCATATTGATATGCTCTTATGTTTATTGTGCTGGTGATCTATGTATTTATCTTTGTGTGTATCCGTATTTTTCCCATGTGGGTGTGTCTGCATGTGGAGCTACAAAACCCAACACAACCCCAAGAATTATTGTCACATGGAATACTGTTTGATCGCAGGTAACATATCTGTGTGTAGAATATATTAACATTAGTATATATAGATATCATATCTCCATGTCCATTTGCGCCTCTCATCCGAACCCGGTAAACAGGTGTGCTGCTCGCTTAGGCATGTACATCTATGGTCATAAGTACTTGATACTATATATATCAACTGTGTGCATTGGCTTGGGCTCTAGCCATCGCACCCATCCAACCTCAGCTGTACACTTTGTGTCCCAAACAACCCCCACCGTATGCGAATCTTGCACGACGTACACGTGTACCTACTTCACACGTGCACTGGTACATCTATCTCAGTGTCACCTCACAAGTTACAACGACAATCCTACCTTTACAGAGCAGGCGTATGAGGCGGCTATGCTAATCATGTCGGGTGTGAAGATACCCTCACCACCAGCCCCAAAAGCGACTGCATCGTCTTCAAGGGCAACAACGGTAAAGAAAACTCCGGTAAAGACCGGCAAACGCACCGCCAGAAAGAGCGCAAAGGCTCCGGTTAAACGGTCGAGGGAGTGGTTGACAAGTACTAACTGGGGCGTTAGTTCATCGTCAGGTACGCTTGTCTTTGACTTATCGACATATATATAGATGTGTTTATACGTATATCTATGTATGTATGTATATATATATATATATATATGTGTGTGTGTGTATGCGCGCGTGTGTGTGTGTGTGTGTGTGTGTGTGTGTGTGTGTGTGTGTGTGTGTGTGTGTTTGTTTATATGTGTTTGTATGTGTGCGTACAAAGCTGTAGAGACTACTCGCTGAAACTTAGTACTTGTAGTTGTATTTGCGCGTGTGACACATATATCATCAAGGAGATGTCACAACAGCCGGACGACTCTGTTAGTCGCCAGTAGTGTGCCCTCATGTCCACGGCCACTTCTATACTTCAGTGTGTATTCCGATAGCTCTTGATCAGATACTATTATTCTTATCATCCGTAGTCACATCAGGACTTTGACCCACCCAAAATTGCTTTATTGGCGCACTATTTTAAACCCTAAACCCCTAATTTGCGCAGAGGATGAGGCCCCGGCCAGTGAAGGCAGGCGCAGCAGGCGCCTGAAACACGTAGCTGCCAACTATGCTGCCTCTAGTGACGACGACGCTCCGAAGCCGTTTGGCAACCGGACTAAGAAGCCGTCGGCTAAAAAGGCTGCACGTTCAGGTATGGTATGGTCTGGCATGGTATGGTATGGTATGGTATGGTAGTGAGTGCTATGGTATTAGGTATGGGGTATATGTGTGTTGTGGATTATGGGCCGGTTGATAGTAAGTGGTGGAAAGCTTATGCTGGAGCAGGTGGCTAACCTGCCAATTCAGTGAGTATTATAAATATATATATATCATATATATATATGTACA